CCCTGGTCGCGCCCGTCGTGGCTGACCTGTCTGCCTTGCTGCGCTTGTTTCCTCGCGCGAACATCGACGTCGTCCGCTGGGCTGCTGCTTTGACCTGGGTCGGGGCGGAGGTGCAATGTTCACTGGCATCATTCTCTCGCTCGTCGCTGCGCCCGCTGGGCGGGGGAGGTTCCCCCGCTGGGCCTAACCCCCGCGATCCATGGCGGTGCCCGCCGACCTCCTATCCTGCCGCCCCCGCCTTCCACGGTGGGCCGCGCGCGGGAGCGGTGGCACCTGCGGCGCGCAGCCCGCGCGCTAGCGCAACGCGCCGTGGTTGCGCTGAACCGGTTGACTTCCGGCCAGCCTAGCCTCGCTCCAGTTCGCCTTGCTCGCGGTGGCAAGAGCCCGTTTCTTTCTTGCTTGGGGCATGACGGGCGTCATGGCCCCCGCTCCCCCGCCCCCCCCTTTTGACGTAACGCTCCCCCCCCCAGTGCGCTCCGGGCACTGCCGCCGTGCGCATTGGGATCCGCGTAGGAATCCGCATAGGTGTCTGGTCCGCAGGCGTCGTCGTCGTCGTCGTCGTCGTCGTCGTCGTCGTCGTCGTCGTCGTCGTCGTCCGTCGTCGTCGCTCGTGGTTCGTCGCCCGTCGCTCATCGTCGTCGTGCGCGCGGACGCGGCTGGAGCCTGTTTTTAAATCCGGGCCGATGACGGCAATCATCTGGGGGGAGAGGGGGTCGATGACGTCACGTTTCGCGCCGGCGGCGTCTGGGAATGCTTCGGAATGACGGAGGACGGGTAGCACGAACATGTAGGTGGCGATATGCACCACAACGCCTGTGTACCTCACAGTGCCCGCGTGCACCGCAGCGCCTGTGTACACCACGCCGCCGATGTACACCACAGCAGCCGCGTGCAACACAGCGTCAGTTTGTGCCACCGTGCCTGCGGGCACAGCAGCTCCTGTGTACACTACAGCGCCTCCGTACACCCCATCAGCCTTGCGCAACACAGCACCAGTGTACACCACAATGCCTGCGTGCATTGCAGTGCTTGTGTACGCCACGGCGCATGTGTGCACCACATCAGCCGCGTGCAACACAGCACCATTGTTGTGTGTAGAAGTTCAGTAGGAATCCTTGTGACGAAATGGAGCGCGTGTGGATTCGAGAGAAAATGGAAAATAAATCCTCATGGACAAAGGAGCGCCGCTGGAATCTACGAGTCCCCCCGAGTCCGCCCGCATCACCCTAACTCCCACTTGCGTCCAGGAGGCTCCATCTAAACTGTCCGTCCGAGAACCAAGTGGACCGATTCAATCGACCATTCGGCGGTGCACGCTGAGATGCGCACGTGCGTTTTAACGCCAAGCCGCACAACAGGGGGTAAGAAGGAGGAAAACGAGGAGGAGGAAGAGGAGGAGGAGGAAGAGGATGATGAGGAGGAGGTGGAGGTGAAGGTGGAGGAGGAGGGAGGAAGGAAAAACGTCGCATTCGATTCTCCGAGTTTTCCTGGCGTGGCGTTTAGTTGTCCGCAGCAAATCCTGACGTACATGCTCCTTCTACCTGTCCTCTGCACGCAGGCGCTGTAGTGTACACCAGCGCTGCGTTGCACGCGGATGCTGTGGTGTAGACAGGCGCTGTGGCGTGCACAGGCGCTGCGGTGCGCGCAAGCACTGTGGTGTACACAGGCGTTGTGCTGCACATGGCTGCTCCGGTGTATGTACACCGGCGTTGTAGTGTTCCCAAGTATTGTGGTATACGCGGGCGGTGCGTTGCACACGGCTGTTGTGGTGTACGCAGTTGCTGTGGTGCACACGTGCGGTGTGGTGCACGCGAGCGTTGTGGTGTACACAGGCGCAATGGGCAGATTGCCACTTACATGCTGGTCGCGTCGTCGTCGTCGCTCGTCGCTCGTCGCGTCGTGCCGCAGCCACACGGCGGGGGGGGGCGTCACGTCATACCCCCCCCCGCCCTCCCCCCCCCATGACGCCCGTCATCGCCGAACATTAAGAAACGCGCTCCAAGAGCGACTCGGGTCGAGCTTTGACGAAGTTCGACGCCACCGAGGTCTCGTTCCATGGCCTGGCTACCCATGTTGCAGCTCTGGGGGCCTCCTTCACCTCCTCCTCTTCCGTTCCGCCGCCCTTGCGGCGGTGCCCCTCGAGTGCGCCCCCCCCTGCCATGGTTGCTTGCCGCCGCGTCGGCGCGGGGCTCCGCCCGCGTCGAGCCCTCTGATCTCATGGCCAGGGCATCCCGCGTCAAATCGAACTGCTCGTCTGAGTTTGATCCCGCCCCCTTTCCGTCCGATCCTCGCGCACGCGCGGCGTTCCTAGAACCTCGCGCCATGGTGCTTCCCGGGGCAGACTGGCCTCCGAGCCGGCGCCTCCGAGCTGGCGGGGGTCTCGGATCCACGTGGGCCGCGCGGAACTCTTGGGCCCTGCTGCGCAAGTGGGATGCCTGCGGTGCCACGTAGCTCACCCCAGCTGCGGACTGTTGCTGGGAAGAGGCGCGCGGGGCCTTTCGGGCCCCGAAGGGCGGCGATTTGGATCGACTGATCCTCGACCCAACGGTGGTTCAGACACGTGTAGCGAGAACGGATGGAATGGGGGGGAAAAGGATGGAACGCAAACATTAGCAGGGGGCGGGCTGGGAGCAGAAAGCCTTTGGCAGAACATGGCGGGCAGATCGGGCGGGCAAGCCCTGGCGGGCGGGTCGGGGAGGCGGACCCAGGCGGCCAGGTCGAGAAGGCGGGCTGCTGAAGTGTGAGTCTTGCATGAATCGCGAAGAAGTGTTCGAGCGATTGCGCGATGCCCTGATAAATCGTGAGAGCGGCCATACTGAGAGAGGGGTTCCTGAGTGTCGAAGGCTCAGAAGTTGAATGCATTTGAGGAGTTCCCACGTGAGAGCGCGATTCCTGCATGCATTGTGCGGAGGTTCTTCGCGAAAGCGCGATTTTGGGGAGCTTGTGAGGAAGTATCAGGCGGGGGCCGTTGCAGGAGAAGTTCGGGGCCCAACGACGTACTTAGAGCAGGACGGTTTTTCCACATTTCAACAGGGGGCGAACCCCGAGAGGGGGTACTTGAATGTTCAAAACACAATGCGCGCCGGTGGGGGAATCAGCAACATTGTTTCTTCAAGAGAGATCGTCCAACAACAACATCATCATCGCCAAAACAACACCAGCAGCCACAACAATCATCATGTTACGACTGCTCGCTCCTGACTGCTCGCGTGCCATTCAACACGTAGATCCCATTCCCTCGGTATCCGCCCTCTTCGTCCTTTATCGTACGCCTCTGGGTTTTTTTGTACCTGCCACGCGCACGTAGCGCAGCTCCTGTAACAGGCGAAAGAGGGACGGATTGACTGGGGAGGGAGAAGCATGGACCATGAGAGAAATTTGCAGGAGAGGGGCTGGGAACATAACGCACGTGGCAGAACCAGACGGGCAGATCGGGCGGGCAAGCCCTGGCGGGCGGGTCGGGAAGGTGGACCCAGGCGGCCAGGTCGAGCAGGCGGGTTGCTGAAGCGTGAGTCTTGCATGAATCGCGAAAAAGTGTTCGAGCGATTGCGCGATGCCCAAGTAAATCGTGAGAGCGGCCATAGTGAGAGCGGTATTCCTGAGTGTCGAGGGCGCCGCGGTTGAATGCATTTGAGGAGTTCCCACGTGAGAGCGCGATTCCTGCATGCATTGTATGGGGTTCCTGCGCGAAAGCGCGATTTTGGAATACAGGTTCAGGAAGTACTCGGCGGGAACCGCTGCTGTTGCAGACCGGGGGCCTGGGGCCCAGCCTGGTGACAGTTCATTTTCCCTGAGAGAAAATAGGATGCGAGCCCTGGGAGGAGTAATTTGATAAAAAATGCAATGTTCACTTGTGGGGGGGGGCCCTTGAGAAATGAGGAATCGACAACAGGAACAATGATACTTCGGGGCCACGGAGTCCTGTTTCAACCACGCATCCAGGGAGGGACAATAACTGACCGTTCGGCCCCCTCATTGTGAGATCCGCATCGGCCACCCCGTGAAGACCCAGGGCGTCAGTTCTCCAGGCGGTGGATGCGGATGATTGTAGTGGCCTTCGGCCAGTGCCGCCGATCCGGGGCGCTCCGACTGATGTGATCCTTCTTCGCCCTCGTCCCTCCTCTCTTTTTCCCTCCCCTCCTCTCACTCAGCATTTATCCAGTGGCCGTCAGCCTATCCCGCCACCGTGCGTGGGTGGTGGGTCAGAGGCCTCATGGATGCTGGTTGGGATCTCGTGGTTGGCTGGGACTTATGGGGGCCTCTTGGGCGCCTCTTGGGGCTTCTTGGGGGCCTTTGGGCCTCTTGGGGCCACTAGAGGGCCTCTTGGGGGTCTCTTGGCGGTGGATGCGGATGATTTCCCCCGCCTCGCATTCCAGGCCCTCGTTTCCGATTCCAGCGGGTGTCCTTCCCTCCTCCACTTTTGTTATGGGGCCCCCCGCCTCCTGCTCCGAACGCCGACTCCCGAGGGCCCCCGTCTCCCCCCCCACACGCGCTGCCCCCTGGAGGGCTGGTCTTATCGGACAAGCGTCGCGCGCTCGCTCGCTCTCCCGCGCGTTGCCGGCGTGATGCGTTTCCCAATCCGTATGGTTAGCATCACTCCATCTCGATGCCGACCTTCAGGGACCCCTCTCTTTCTGAGGGCGTATCCCCGAACTTTCCATCACCTTTGAGGCTCGTCGGTCTTAGGGGCAGGGATCAGCTCTAGGCTGGTCATTATAACCCGTCGGATGCAACTCCTGGGAGGGCACATTTTGAATGTGACCTGGTCCGAAATCTGGCTTAATCCGGCTTTATCCCAGTAGATCCGGCTTAATCTCAGCTAGTCCGGCTTAGTCCTGCTTAATCCGGCTCGATCCCGCTTAATCCGCGGCCTAGTCTGGCGTAGCAGCCCGCCGACGGGGCTTAGTCTTCCCTAGTCCTTCTGACGAAGACCTCCCAGCACTTGCTTTCTAAGGATAAGCTCGAGGCTGGTCATTACTACCCCCTCTCGCACTCCTCAGATTCCTGGCCGAGATCGACGTCGACCTGTCCGAGCCCGGCGAGAGCGGCATCATGACAGGCCTCGGTGTCGCAGCGGCCCATCCGTGTCCGCTCCTCCCGCGTCTTGGGCTCCCCTCCGTCTTCGCCTTGGAGGTCGCCAGGAAGCCGACGGGCTCTGCGGGAAAGTCGGCTGCACGTGAGAGGTGACCTTTCGCCGGAGTGACCTTCGGTGCGGGCACTCGGGGCTCACGGGGGTCACTGCAAACGCGGTTCAGGCAGAGCGCTGGATCTTTCAGGGTCCTGCAGTGCCAGGGCTGACCGCGCTGGGATTGGGTGCAGGATCCTGCAGGTTCCTGCAGGATCTTTCGTGTAAACATCTCATGTGCAAACATCCTTTTATCATGCTCTAACACGCCATGCCAGCCCGCATTGGACGGGCACGCGATCGACCTTGGAAACCGCAGTGGGCTTTAACACATTCTGTTTGGGGATACTGCATTATGGTTATATTTTCTTCATGCTGCAATATAAAAGCATATGTGTGCGACTCTCTCTCTCTCTCTCTTTGCATATATGTTCGTCACACAGTGCTCGCACTTACGGGTTTTGGATTTCTGTTCTAAGGACGTCGCCCCGTAGGTCAGTGTGGCGGCTATGTGGCTGCTGTCGCCGCCCCGTGGCCGGTTCGCCGCCGCCCCGTCGCCGCTTCGTCTCCGCCCGTGGTCTGGGCCTGTCGGCCGGTCTGAGTGCTCAGAGGCCGCCGTCGCCGCCCCGTCGCCGTCTCGTCGGCGCCCGTCGTCTGGGGTTCTGTGACGTTTTGGCGGCTGCGTTGCCGCGTCGCCGCCCGTTCGCCGCCCCGTCGCTCGCACCACGTTGATCACGCAACGGAATAGAGTGAACAACGCGTATTGGAGGACATAGAATTGCACCACGATCACCCTACATAGATTGCACCATGTGGATTGCGCCACACAAGTTGCACCACATATATATATATATACACACACACACCTATACGACCACTCTTCGGGTGATAAGGAGGTTCGGGGGGGGGGGAAGAACCAACGTCTCACTCGATCGGTCGCACTATCGATCTTACTATCGACCTCACTATCGGTCTCGCTCGATCGATCTCACTCGATCGATCTCACAATCGATATCACTCGATCTATTTCATTCGATCGATCTCACAATCGACCTGACTAGCTATCTCTCAATCGATCTCACGATCGATCTCACTATCGATCTCACAATCTATCTCACATTCGGTCTCACTATCGACATCACTATCGATATCACAATTGATCTCACAATCAATGTCATCATCACCATCATCGACATCATCGTCGCCAACGTCATCAACATCATCATCGTTCACGGGACGCCATCTTCATCATCATCATCATCACCTCATCACCATCATCATCAACATCATCATCACCATCATCATCATCGGGGCACCATCATCGTCACCATCATCATTAGCAACAGCATCATCATCAACCTCATCATCATCATCGGAACACCATCATCACCATCAACATCATCATCGTCATCGGGACATCATCATCATCGCCATCATCGGAACACCACCGCCATCATCATGGCATCATCACCATCCTGAGCAACACCGTCAACATCATCATCATCGGGGCACCATCAGCATAATCAGCAGCAGCATCATTATCAACATTCATCATCATCATCGGGACACCAGCATCGTCGTTATCATTATCATCATCACCATCATCATCATTGGGACACCATCATACTATCAACATCCGCACCATCATCGGGCCACCTTCATCAACACCATCATCAGCTCATCATCATCATCGTCATCATCATCATCATCAACATCGAGCACCATCATTGTCATCATCATCAACATCATCATCATCATCGGGACACCATCACCATCATCTTCATCATCACCATCCACGGCATCATCAACAACATCAGCACCATCATCATCATCATCGGGACAGCATCATCATCAGCAGCACCATCATCATCATCATCTCATCTTCTCATCATCATCAACATCATCAGGATCATCATCATCATCACCATCTGGGCACCATCATCATCATCATCAACATCCGCATCATCAGCATTATCGTCATCGAACACCGTCACCATCACCACCATGGCCATCATCATCATCACCATCATCACCATCATCGGGACACCATCATCATCACCATCATCATCAACATCATCATCATGATCAGCATCATCATCATCATCATCATCAT